ATGTCGTCGAAAAGTACGCGATGTCGTCGACGACATACTCGACCCCAAAGAGTTAAAAGCATATAACTAAGATCGGTGGATCTCATGGGAATATGGTCGATTTCTGATCCCCTCAAATTAACGTGATCGAGGCCGATCGATCGGTGCGCCGATCGATCGGTGCACCCCTAATAAAAAACATAAAGTAGTTGCAACAATATAATATTCATAACTCAAAAATCAGGTTCAGTAAGACGTGTTATGTATTATACATCAGGGGAGATTTCTAAATATCCACAATTATTATTTTTATGGTGAGATGCTGGTAAGCAGCATTATGTGTGAAAACATTACTTTTGGTCAAAAGTAATTAGAAAGTTGATAATAATTCAAAAACAGAATTCGATATTAATTCAATATCTTTCCCTGCAATTGACTTAAGTTGTCTGTCTTTCGCTGAATTTCACTATCTAATTTATTGTAATCCAGAGCTTTATTGTCGCTAGAGGGCACGATTTCATCACTTGACGAGCTCCGCATTTTTTTGTAACTTTGTTGTTTCGTTTGTCGTACGTTTCGGTTCTCTGTAGCTGTCGTATCTTTGTACTGTTTTCCTGAACCAGGTAACATTTTTGTACCATTTTGCTTGCGCTCGTCTTCTGCGTAAATTAAAGAAGGGACCTTAAAAACCATACTGGGAAACTGGTGAATGTGACGAGGTTAGTGTCTCTTGTCACCAGAACCATCCCTGATTGCAGTAATGGAGATGGTTCGCATTCCTTTCTGACCTTTGTCCAAGAAGACCCGTTTTTATTTGGTGTTAAGAAAATCTCTCCAGCTCTGTATTCTGTCTCCAGTTGTCTTTTAGGTCTGATTTAAGCTGTTTGTCTCAATCAGTCCATTTTCCCTTTGAAAACTTTTAAACTTTCTTCCTAATAGTTTCTCTATATATCTAAGTTTTTTTTTTTTTGTTTCTTTTACCCCCTAGACGACACAAGCCCACAGGCTGAAAACTCAGCAAAGTACGGTCAGGTTGAGAAGGAGAGGCAGTAAAAGCTCATTTTATCCTCACGAATCCCTGTTTTGTGAGGTTCAGTCGTCACACCTGCATGATAAATAGTCGTCCTGCTCACAGGCAGATGCGAAGCACCCTTTCATCACAGAGGGCAGCAGAGCCCGATATCCACCCGGCTGTGGACCTGATGACGCCCCCAGCCCCCCCACCAGCAGGAAGCCATGCTGCATGCATTGACTTCCCCCATTGAGCTCCCCAAACGCCTCTGCATGGTCTGCAGCCTGATTTCCTGTTTGGAGGTGCGCAAGGGATCTGAGATGCACATGAGAAGCCCCCCGATGCCGGGAGGAGTGACTCACCGAGCGACAGGCCACCAAAAACAAACATCCGGGTGGTCAGAGCTTGTGTTTGCGCTCTCCTCGTAGGAGGAGGGGGGTGACTTTGCGATTTTCCCATATGTGCATGTTTGTCTTTTTGGGTGACGTCCCAGTGGTCTTCATTCCTGCCCCCCATCTCCAGATTCTGGGGGAAATGTGAGCTGGGTCGGCCATTTTGGGGGCGTTTTCTTATAGCTGGTTTTACATTTTATTTATTCGCTCACTCCGGGGCCCAGTGGTAAAATAACTCTGTTGACCCTGGGATTCGAACCAGCAACCTTCTGACCATAGGTCCGCACACAGGACCAGTTGGATCACACGCTGTCCCCTCGTAGCGTGGGACTGGCGGTCGGGAGTCACTGCTGCGTGAGATGCTCAGTGACAAGGAATGTGCCACAGTGGAGACCCAAGCTGGCCAGGCTTGACGTTAAGCCCCAAAATATGCAGGATGGGTGGAGAAAAGCCACATGCTGCCTCTGAATTAGACAGAAGCAACTGCCCAGGGGCAAAGAGAACAGTGCCATCCGTCAGAAAGGTGTGGCCATTGCAGGCTAAACAAGCAGAATAGCTACTGTGCCCTGTGGCGTTTTTGACATTCTTTGTGAAAATGACCAAAAAAGGCTGTGACACATTTTCTTCATTAGCGTGATCTTACGCTCGGATTATAAGTGACAGCCAACCTTTCAATGAGGTAAGTTTAGTCAAAGGAAATCCTCACAAAGAGATTCAGACTTAGCCTGCTCCCTTTGCCATGACAGAAATGCTTGCTCTCGCCTTTGTGGTTGTGATGCTGGCTGATTCTGATCACTTTGACCACGGATACCAGTAATTCTGCAGGGCTCTGTAGAGTTTGAAATACAGAAACCCGCCTGGGCCAAATAACCAATCAGCTGATGGGTGAATGTGACAGCGTGTTTCGAGATCCCATCCCATCAGGGGCTGCCCCTCTCCCTCCACCTCCACTCTGAATGCAGATCGTTCCGTTGCCCTGTTTTCAATTCCAGTATGAGGTTCCTCGCAAACTTCAAAGGCCTGGAGATCCTTTGTTTCGGGTTCCTGTTGAACGAGGCCCCCGACCCAACCCTGATCTTACTTAAACAAGCCAGATCGTGCCGCCGGTCGCTCTTTCCGGCTTGTCTGAGGTGGGGATCGCTCCGCAAACTCAGCGGTCTTAATGAACCCCCATCGTGCGCAACCCTGCTGTCAGCAGCGAAACAGAGCCTCTGCTCCCCCCGCACAAACACAGCACGCGCCCCCCCAGCACTCGCTGCCTGAGTCGGGGAAATGCTGATGTTACCTGGTGTCTCTCAGTGATGGTGTGAGGGCTGTTTGTAGACAGAATCAGGCCATTCCAGTAAGAAGGTAATTACCATGGTACTGTGGATTTTACTATGCATTTTTAGCTCTGTTTAATTCTTTATCCCCTGTGTTCCAGCACTAAAGTCCACATATTATCCTGACCCACAAAATGGGAATTATTAAATAAAAGTAGTGGTACGCTTATTGGCTTTGTGTGTATTTTATATTCCTGTGTTTTAAATACATTAATTCACTTTAATTTCAGTACAAATGAATCCAGTCTGGCCGCACAATGCATACACAGTAAGTGAAATCACATGGAGTCATGTGATTAAAATATATATGTATGTGATATCATGTGATTTCCCTTAATCTGGACATACACAGACACATGATTGTGTCTCTGTGGTGCTATTCATACCCTCCTCTGGTGACCCTTCAGTGATTTTTCCCCGGCTTCTTCCAGAGAAGAGCTTCAAAAATGGAACTCAATACGTTGCTCGTCAGTGGCGAGATCGACTGAGCAGAACTCGAGAAATTCCATTTGATTGCATCACGCGGCGTTGTGATTGCATTCCTCAGTGCAAACACGCGTTTCCTCTGCCACGTCCTGCACTCAAGCTCCTTTATCATTCACCACAACCCACGGCAGGTAATATTTTACAGATTCTTGACGCGACATAACACCATTCTTGCTTTCACAAAGGCAGAGCGGCAAGGGCGTGTACAACCACCTGAGGGATGTCTGACATACCTGCCAGTTAGGGGGGCTGCCCTGTGGCGGCAGTAGATCCGGGAGGCGGGACCAGACCTCCCTCATCCTCCTCACCTTGACAGCTGGCGGGAAACTCCGGATGCGGTGTTTTGGTCCCTGTCGAGTTCATGTGCTTGACTTTCGTCACAGAAAGTTAACAGCCGCATGGCCTTGTCATAAATCAGCCGGAAGAGAGACCCCATCATTTCCGGGGTGCTGATGGCTCAGCGGTCTAAGCCTTGGCAGAGTAGCCACGTGTCTGTGGGCCCTTGAGCGAGGCCCTTAACCCCCAGCTCCATGGGCACTGCTGCAGCTGGCTGCCCTTCACTGTCAAGCTTACTGTCTCCTGCACGTGTGTCATGGAGAGCTGGATGGGGTTAGCAAAAGGAGAATTTCAATAAAATGTTATTATTAATGTGATGGCATCCGTTAAACCACAACTAAAAGAGCCACAAATTAACAAATGAAGTACACTGCTTTACATCGGCCGAGTTGTAGATCCCAGAGGCCTATAGACACTAAATAGATCACTGGCAGAGATACTGTGCATCAGCATTACCTTCGCTGATAACATCAGCAGTAACGCAGGCCGGCTTTGCCTGTGGATTGTACAGTAATGTACAGATATGTGCTTCGCAGAGCGAGGATTCGGACGCACAGTCATGAGCCTGTGCACAGTAGCAGAGCCGATACTGCTTACGGCCAACGAAAGCCGTTGTTTGTACACGTCAGAGAGGAAATCTGTTCATTACGAAAGCTTCTAACGAGCATGTGCACTCCTGAGCCAGCCTTTGTTTACATGTGAGGTGAACCTGTGAAACATTGACTGGGTCTGAAAAATAGAAACAGCACCAACTGATTTAGAAGTAAATGAGCAAAGTCAGCAGTGCTTGTAAATGGGCTGGTTTTAATTTAATTGACTGGCATGTGAATTGAAGGTCACGCTCCAAAGGCGTACACAGTCCCTGGCCTCTGGGTGTCCGCCGGACAGTGCCAGACTTCCCACCACAGTCTTGGGTGGGAAACGTTCCGTGTTGTTGCTTTTCTCCTGAAATACTCCCTGAGAATTTTAAAAACACAGCTAAAGTCGGGCAGGCGACAGGGTGACTGGAGTGTGCGATCATTGCAGTCTTTCTTACAGCAGCTTGAAAATTACCCCACATTTTCCATAAGAAGTACAACGATTTTGCTGTCCAGGTGTAGCCCTCCTTCCTTCCTTAAGGAGAGACCCTGGAACACTGTGACTCTAAGTTTAATTCTGGTTTTTAAAAATAGATGAACCACACTTTCAACGGGTGTACAAATGAGTAATATTTTCTCACTGTGTATAAGCCACTTCGTTTGTCACCATCATCTGATGAACCCAGTTTTCAGACATTAATCGTATTTTCGTGGTATTACTTGTAACACTAATATGTGTTGTAGCTGTGGGAGCGCGGGACGATGGGAGCGATTCCGATTCCCGAAAGATTTAAGCCTTTTTGTCCCAGTCGGCGACCCGTTCGGAGGAGTAGCATGGGGAGGGGCCGTTGCCTGGAAACGACGGTGGATGTTAGTGGAAGCAGCAAAAATGGAGAAGTACGAAAAAATCAAAGTTGTCGGAAGAGGCGCTTTTGGGTAAACACATTTTTTAAAATAGTCGAGTTGCTGTTCAGTCTGCCGTTTAGCAGATTGGATTTCACCGGCAGTATTTTGTTAAATGTTTTCATAACCGATGTCTGTACTTTTTCCAAAAAGTTTTTTGACAGATCTCGCGGTGGTTTCTTGAAATTTACGAATGTGTCTCAATAACAAAAGGATCCCCAGTCTGATCCTTGTCTGCGTTTCCTTGCAAACTGCTAATTAAATATTCCGGGAAAGCAGTACTGCACTTTTCGGACACAAATTTTATACCGTTATATTTGGTTGTCAGATGTCATTTGTATTTTTTTTCTCAATTTTTTATTCACTGTGTACACTTTTTTTGTTTAGTAAACGTTATCGTTACCAAACTTTGATTAGCTAATGCATTTAAAGTCTTTCGGTGAAGGATTTGACTCCCTCGAGGTTAATCAGAGCGCTGAGGTGAGAAAACCACGCCCCCGTCGAAGCCACGCCCCTCGCCCTCCACTCATTATTTCCGCCTTTCAGGATTGTTCACCTCTGCAGGCGCCGGACTGATGGCGCCCTGGTGATCCTGAAGGAGATCCCTGTGGAGCAGATGACCCGTGACGAACGGCTTGCAGCCCAAAACGAGTGCCAGGTGCTGAAGTTGCTGAATCACCCCAACATCATCGAGTACTACGAGAACTTCCTGGAGGACAAGGCTCTGATGATCGCCATGGAGTATGCACCAGGTACCAGTGCACACTCCTCCCTTCCATTTTCCCTGCTCTTTCACTGCATTACATCAGAGAGCGGCTGTGTGGGGTTTTTTATATAGAAGCTGAGAAGATGACATCATGTGTCGCTGTCTCCAGGCGGAACGCTGGCCGACTACATCCAGAAACGCTGTAACTCGCTGCTGGACGAGGACACCATCTTGCACTTCTTTGTGCAGATCCTGCTGGCGCTCCACCACGTCCACAACAAGCTCATTCTACACCGGGACCTCAAGACCCAGAACATCCTGCTGGACAAACACCAGATGATCGTCAAGATCGGCGACTTCGGTATCTCCAAGATCCTCGTCAGCAAGAGCAAGGCCTATACTGTGGGTGCCTCCCCGGGGTGGGGCCGGGGGATGCCTGGCGTATCGTGGTCTTGTAATGGACCGTGCTAATGTCGCACATTTTACAGTAACTTAACATTTTAGCTAAGTTTTCAGCTGAACCAGTCCAGATAATGTCAGGAATATAGGCTCTAACTTCCTGTGTGACACCACACCACTTGTCTGTGTCTCCCCTGTGGGGGCCAGGTGGTGGGCACCCCCTGCTACATCTCTCCAGAGCTGTGTGAGGGCAAACCCTACAACCAGCGGAGTGACATCTGGGCCCTAGGCTGTGTGCTGTACGAGCTGGCCAGCCTGAAGCGGGCCTTCGAGGCCGCGGTAAGACTGCCTAACTCCTTCAGTTCATTTATTAATCTCATTACAGTTATTTTATCCCAAGTTGCATTGAAGAAGCTTCTAGAATGTATTGTGGGTAACTATGGCTACCCGCTGCTAGGCCACTTTCACCCCCCACCTACCAACGTCCTCCCGGTAAGCCTCTCTCGTCGTCCCCACAGAACCTGCCTGCTCTGGTCCTGAAGATAATGAGTGGCACCTTTGCGCCCGTCTCGGACCGGTACAGCCCCGAGCTCAGGCAGCTGGTGCTGAACATGCTGAACCTGGACCCATCCAAGCGGCCGCAGCTCAGCGAGATCATGGCTCAGCCCATCTGCACCCGGCCGCTGCTCAACCTCTATACCGACGTCGGCAACGTCAAGATGCGCCGGTGACTTCCGCCGGGAGCGTTTCTGAAAATACGGGTGGCAGACGATGCCCAACAATCATAACACACGCACCAGCACCTGTCTGTACATGGGGGGAACATGCAGACGCCACGCACACAGAGCCAGGCAGGATTTGAACCTACAACCTTGGAGATGAAAGGCCGCAGCGCTTGCTCCCAAGCCGCAGGAAGCTTCCTGCATTCTTATTAATGATGATTTAACAGCTAAGTGGAGGCAGTTACTTGGGCTCTGCAGCTTTATTTTAATGTGAATCCTGAGGTTTAATTATGCTAATGGAAAACCGTGGTTGGCTGCTTCGTGTTGCCATAGTGAAGATAAGGTCTGGGATTCCTATTATGAGGTCACTTCCTGTTGTAAACAAAGGCCCAGGCAGAACTGGTTATTTTGCGTAGCATATAGCTGGAGGTCGTTTTTAGTGATAACTAAAGACACCATTCCGTTTCCGCAGGATTGAGAAGCCGCTGTCCGCCGTACAGGCAGGTGTACACGCTAGGCCGGCAGGACGATGGCCAAACTCCAGGCTGAGGGGTCAGTGAGGTCACTGCAGGCTTCGCTGACACAGGCTGCATGGATACAGTGACTTAGCGCTGAGGCTTGTTACCACCCATGGCTGTAGCTTCTTATTTTGCCTCCCATTCCAGCAGATGGGACCCTGGGCCCCGGGAAGATGGTGCACGCCCTGCCCCTGTCCTCCGTCTACACCTGGGGCAGCGGCATCTCCACCCCCCTCCGCCTGCCCATGCTCAACACAGAGGTGCTGCAGGTGTCCCTGGGCCGTACACAGAAGATGGGCGTCACCAAGTCCGGCCGCCTCATCACCTGGGAGGTCAGAGCTTGTTCCCGTCACGTCTTGCTTAGCGCCGGGCAGCGACACTCTGATGCCAGCTGATGCCAGGGGTGGGGGCTCTGTTTTTTCGGCAGGCACCCTCAGTGGGGTCTGGAGAGCCCGCCCTGCCTGGCGCCACAGAGCAGATACAGCCCCAGTTCATCTCTCGCTTCCTCGAGGGCCAGTCTGGGGTCACCATCAAATCTGTGTCATGCGGAGACCTCTTCACCACCTGCCTGACAGGTGGGCCCCTCTAGCAGGCCTGCGGAGTCCCTCCTAGGGGCAGAGCTCTCGGGAGATTGCAGCTCCCCATACTGGCAAGCAGAAATATGATGTTTCACTCAGGGAGCCCCTGGCCTGAGAGCATTAATCGTGTCACTCATACATCAGAGCACCTCCTGGGTATCAGATTTCTCCTCCCCCATTGTAAGCTGGCAGAACCTCCTCTTGCCTAAACGAAGTTTATAGACCAACACTCCCACTCTGGTAGAATTGGGGATTCAGCAGGGGGGTCAGGAGCTCACAGTGGGATCTTCAGCTCCATTACCTGGTGTTTTCTGGTGTGGGAGCAGCTTGCCCTGCTGGGGACTGAGCGCCCCCTTACAGTGCTACACTCACACCTCCCTCACATGCTCTTTTATTTACCATGTTTACTTCCCACCGCACAGACAGGGGCATCATCATGACGTTTGGGAGTGGAAGCAACGGCTGCCTCGGCCATGGCAACTTCAATGACGTCGCACAGGTGGGTGCATGGGAGGGGTCTTGTCGTGGGAGGGGCCGTGTCATGACCCATTGGCCGTGGGACAGCCGCGCTCACTTTCGCACACCCTCCCATGCAGCCCAAGATCGTGGAGGCCTTGCTGGGTTATGAGCTGGTGCAGGTGTCCTGCGGAGCATCACATGTGCTTGCCGTGACCAATGAGAGGGAGGTATTCGCCTGGGGGCGGGGCGATAACGGTAAGGAGGCGGTGCCTGTGCTTTGCTCTGTGCTCCCTGTACTGTTTTGCTCTTGGCCGGAAGTGACTCTGCCTGTGCCCCCCCCCCCCCAGGCCGACTGGGTCTGAACTCCCAGGACTCCTTCAGCTCCCCACAGCAGGTGTGCATGCCGGAAGAGTTTGAGCCCCAGCGGGTGCTGTGCGGGGTGGACTGCTCCATTGTTGTGGGGGTGCGACACACCATCCTGGCCTGCGGCAGTAACAGGTGACCCCCCCCCCCACCACCACTCACCTCCTACTGTCATCTGAACTTCAGACCGATTCTGAATTTGCCAGAACAAGAGCAGCTGTGTCTCAAACTGAATCCAGTTCCCCGGCACGATCAGGTTCAACAAACTGGGCCTGGATCAGATTGCCGGTGCAGACGAGCCACCACCCTCAGATCAAGTGGAGGAAGTGCACACGTTCAGCCCCATCCAGTCAGCACCCCTGAACAGAGAGAAGATCGTTTACATCGACATTGGAACGGCCCATTCTGCCGCAGTCACGGGTGAGACCTTATTTTTTTTGTTAGGATACTCTGATGTAGCTTTAAAATTGGTACTTAACCTGAGGTGTTTTATTTATATTGAGTTCAAACTGGGTAATTGTGTGTTGACTTTAAGCTGCGCTGATGATTTGTGTGTCCTGGCTGAATACTGTAGTAACAGTGATGAGCGTTAATGATGCCCCCCCCCCCCCCCACCAGAGACAGGCCGGTGCCTCACCTTCGGCAGCAATCAGCATGGGCAGCTGGGCTGCGGCACCCGCAGGAGCAGCCGGGTGCCCTACCTGCTGCCCGAGCTGCAGGGCATCACCATGGCAACATGCGGGGATGCTTTCACCCTGGCCATCAGCGCAGGTTAGCAGGACAGCATTCGGTGGGGGGGGGGAGGAGGGGCGGATCACTTTGGACCCCTTTGTTCTCTTCAGAAAAGCTACACCAGCGTTGTCGATGAGGCTGGTGGCCTTGCGAGTGGCATTAGCACCAGGAATATGCATTTATCCATATTTACTCAGCTAACCCCCCCTCCATTACTGAAGACACTTAGGTCACTGAGGGCAGATTCCCACTGTGTCACATGATCAGCTGTTTAGTGGGCTCCTCCCCCCTGGGAGGACCACAAAGTGCCCGCGGCTGCCCAGCCCTCTCACTTAACGGGGCTTTTAAGTGCTTTAATAACTGCCACTGATGTCGCAAGATACAGACCCTACAATAGAAGTGTGAGAGGCGTGGCTGCGCATACAAGAGTCACAGTGCATTATCTGTCTTTAAAGAGCCCCTCTTTGAATTTACTCCAAAGCATGGGGGAGGGATTGCATCAGCCAGTTACTAATGCTTCCTCAGGAAAAATGCACGTGACCCTTTTCAGATGCGCTTGGACAGGGAATGCGCTCCTTTGTAACGTCACAGTTCATTTCCATCGTTCTGAAAATGGGGCCAAACTGGTCGGGAGTGCTGCCCCAGCTGGGTGCAGGGGGTGGGACACCAACCTCTCGCCCTCCCCTTTCAGATGGGGAGGTGTACACCTGGGGCAAAGGGGCCCGCGGCCGGCTGGGCCGGAAGGAGGAGGACTCGGGCGTCCCCAAGGCCGTGCAGCTCGACGAGAGCCACCCCTTCACCGTCTCCTCGGTGGCCTGTTGCCATGGCAACACTCTGCTGGCCGTGAAACGTAATCCCACCCGCCTGTCCGCCTGGTTCGCGTCGACCCGGTTTTGTGTGAGACGGTTCCCGGCCGGGCCTAGTACCCGCCGTTGGCCACATCAGTGTCACAGATTAACTGGGGGTCACCTGGACCATGCTAGTGTGTGTCCTGTAAGCCTGGGGGGGGGCAGAGTCAAAGCCTCACATTAATATGCCATTCAGCCTGATGTAAAAAAGATATTAATGCCCCCTCCCCTACATACACACACACACACACACACACACGCACACACATGCACACACACACACACACACACATGCACACACACACACATACATACACACACACACACACACATGCACACACGCACATACACACACACACACACACATGCACATACACACACACACACGCACACACACACACACACACACACACACATGCACATACACACACACACACACACGCACACACACACACATGC